TATANATGAAATATACATACGAGATTCTCGTAATTCAAGCCAGGGACAGATCGAGACACACATATACATAAAATATACTTTAGTTATACAATCGAGTTTAATTGTTTCTCAAAATCGATTTCAGAATCCACAATATACATAAAATATACCTAAGATATACTATCGATCAATGAACTACAGATCTCATTCAAAACTTACATATACATAAAATATACCTAAAATATACATAAGTTGTGATCGTGTATATATTGTTTATTTCTTGATCGTGTTCTCAATTTATTTTGAGAGAGAGAAAGAGTACGTTATCTTTTCTATTTCTACTGAACAAACTCCTTATTACTAGGATTAATTTACTTTCCATATGTGTTTTTAATTTTTTTTCTTTTTTCATGGAAAACCGTCCATTATTATGTCATCCCCAAATCATGGAAGCATTATATCTTTTCAGATTTGGTAACTGTAATCTTAGCATATTGGAAATTATTTTCTAATGATTAGGTAGGAATGCAATACAAGATTCGATCATGGCATTTTTACAATTATTTTCAAATTGTTCAGTATAGATAAAATTAACCCTAAAAATTATCTGGAAATGTAAGACGGGTGCACCTCCCCGTCTTGGGCTTTTGTTGTCCTGATAGCCCAATTCACACTGGACTTGAAAACACAAATCCAAATCCGCCCTATCCACTTCACCACCCCGTCTGCGTTTCTCGGCTTGCAGTCAACCGGCAATGGCCTCCCTCGTACTCCCCACGCCGCTCAGCCACCACTCCCCCTCCGCCGCCCGCCGCTCCTCTCTCCTCCACTCCCCCAAGATTTACTCCCCGTCCCTCAGATGCAGCTCCACCGCTTCGTTCCGCCAACAAACCCTCACATCGCCGCCGCCGGAATACCTCCTGCCCCACATCTCCGCCTCTGCGGCTCAGTCTCCTTTCTCTTCAATTCGGAGCGATGGCGACATCATAGGGCTGCTGCTGAAGGAGAGAATCATGTTCCTGGGGGACGAGATTGATGATTTCGTCGCCGACGCCATTGTCAGCCAGATGCTTTTGTTGGATGCTCAGAATCCGAACAAGGATATCAGGCTCTTCATCAATTCCCCTGGCGGAACCCTCAGGTTTTGCCGTGTTTACGTGAATTTAGTAATTCGCTCCTTTTTTTTCCCCCTAAAATAAGTGCTTTTTAGTTTCTGGGTGTCTGCAATTTTTCTTTGTAATGGTTCATATATGGTAAATCTGTGCTGTTTATTTTGCTCTACTTTGAGGTGGATTGATAAGTTTTATCTCAATTGTATGTTCTTATGTTGTGGTCTTGAGTTATCAAGTTCGAATTATTGTACAAAATGGAAGAGTGTGAAGTTGGAATCTGGGCATGACAGTTTTGATGCTTTCCTGCCTGAAGCTATAATGTTACTAAAATGCAGTCTTTTATGGTTCTTCTCTATATTGAATGATTCGAGATTTTGGAGAATGAAATGAACTACTACTAGTGATGTGGAGGCGCAAAACGCAATCTTTACATGAAAGCAAGGGTCTCAGTTATTTTTTACCCCCTTTTTTATTACCCGTCACTGATAGGCGAAAACATTGTGCATTTGCAAACCCATATAACTACAAGTAAATTGATCATCTATGATTCTATTCATTAGTCTGCTGTCTGCAAGTCAAATTGGCGTGATACTGCTGGTTGGTGGCTTAATGGCACAGCTCAGTAAGATGAACAGAATAAAATAGTGTGCTACGATTTTTCATTATTCCTCTGTAATCACGATTCGTGTTATGCGACTTCTTCTTTTGGTTAGAAATTTAGATCCCTAACATTGGCTCTTCATACCTGTTCATCTGTTATTCATAGGCAAGACTACCTCGATTGCTAGGATATGTCTGTCCATCCATTGATTGTTTATTTTTGGCACTTCTGTTTTGGAACTATTCGACCAGAAATTGAAAGATATCTAAGATAGCCTTATTACAATCATTGATATTTAATTGGTAGTTTTATCTTTCAGGCCCTGTATTGATAGTTGTCTTAAAATCCATTTTTTGTTTTCTAATGATTATCTTTTACTTTATACCAGTTCCACAATGGCCATCTTTGATGTTTTGCGTCTCGTACGGTCTGATGTATCTACAATTGCATTTGGCTCGTCCGCATCAACAGCTTCCATTATCCTCGCTGGCGGCACAAAGGGCAAACGGTTCGCGATGCCCAGCACGCGTATAATGATCCACCAGCCACTCGGCAGTTTTAGCGGCCTAGCCTTTGATGTCGAGGTCCAAGCTCGTGAGATCTCTCAAAACAGGGAAAATGTGATCAGAATTTATTCTGAAATCACTGGAAGATCGTTCGAACAGGTCGAGAAAGATATTGATAAGGATAAATACATGTCTCCTATTGAGGCTGTTGAGTATGGCATCATAGATGGAATCATTCATAGGGACAGCATTATCCCACTTGTGCCCGTGCTTGCGGGAGTTAAGGCCTCCGCGTTTAATATTGAGGAGGTTAGTGAGGATCCGAAAAAGTTGCCGACACCAGAAAATCCCTGATGATGATGATGATGAGATATGTTAATCGTTCAAGTTATTATTACAGGTACACGGCCTTTTCGTGTTTTTATTTTTAGTTCTTTCTTTGTGTTTGTATGGGTTGTGTGAAGTGAAAGAAGTTTCGTATGGAACCCCAGCTTAGTAATTTATGAGCTTGGGGATTTAAGCGTAGCTGCAAGAACGGAGGCACACTCCTGTTAATAGTTTAAAAAAAAGAGTTAAATACATAATGAAAATGGAAAACTCTTAAAAAGGTAAAATAAGTAGAAACTCGAAAGAATCCTAAATAGATAAGCCACGAAATTAAAAATCCTATGAGAAGTCATTTAGAAGGCTGACGTTAAGCGCTGGACTTTTCTAAAACATCAATCCATTGACTATTGTAGAGAGATTAATAGTATTGTGCTACATTTTTAGCGTGGTAATATTCATGACTCTACAATATATTATTAGAATCTTTAATTTTTTAATGTTGTTTTTTAATTGATTTGTCTTGAAATGTATGCTTTTGATAAAGCGTATATCAATAAATTTATAAATAGATTTTAGAATTATACCAAAATATTATTTTGGATAAATATATTTATTAAATTACTATAAAATAAATTATAATGGGAAAAATAACAAACTTTTGTCTAATAATATTTTTAAAAAGTTGCAAACGTTCTAAGATTGTGAAAATATTTGTTGTGTGAATTAATGTGTAGTTAAATTATGTTTTGGGCTTTTTAGCATTAAAATAATCCAAAATAATGTGAATAAAAAAGATAATAATTTGTGTAGAGTTAATGTAGTGCAAAATATTCGAAATACAGCTTAATTTCTGGTTTACTCTGGAATGGAATAGAGTAGAGTAAACTCTACACTCTAGTAGTATAGAAAATGGTTGGAGATGGCTTAAGAGAGCTAGAAACCTAAAAAAAAAAAATTGAAGTAAGAAAGAAAAAGAAAAGACCACGTTATAGATGGAAAAGTATAAACTCTATACTGCGTAAATGGTCTAACGCAAATACTTTGCCACTGAAAGATGCTTAAATCTATGTTTAGCTTGAAAAGGGGCTCGTAAAAGTTGCTTCTACAGCATCCAGTGGGATCTCAGTGGCCATTTACAGCTTCTAAAATGGAGTTTCGAAGAGCAAATGCCATAATGGTCTCATTTTCTTGAGATAAAAGAATGTGTTTTTAGCCAATAACGAGAAATGACCGGAAGATGCGAGTGACACCAAAATGAGTGATAAGAATCCATCTGTCAAGACTATGTAGAGACTATGTAGATTGGACATTTGGACTTGATAATTGACGACTCATATGCACTCATGGAACTATTTTCTTGGAATAATCTTCAATTCTGAAGGGTTGACATTAGTTAATGGTAAAGGCTATGTTTGGTAAATAGCTTATAGCTTTAAGTGAATTTCGAGCTTATAGTTGATAATTTATAACTTATGGTTGAAAATCTAGCTTATATGATAATAGTGTTTGGTAAAATTAGCTAATAAGTTAGTTGAAATAAAAATTGCTTATGTGATTAGCTCGAGCTTTTCAAAAAAACTCACCCTACCAAACCGAACTTATTTGAATACATGAGACTTATAAGCTAATCAAATAGCTATAAGTTAGGTTAGATGCTTACCAAACACATCCAAAATATGTTTCCATGTGGGGTCCAAGTAGAGAAAGATACTCCAGCAAGCTTACGTAATCCATCAGTTAGGACCTCAAACAAAACTAGAAAAATATGCATTCATTGTCTATTCTTCTTCATTTTTTTTTAAAAATATCTTTTACGCTCGTATATTTATTAAAAAACGAAGCACTTGATGTTTCCGCAATTTATTTCCTTGACCAGAAGTCTTACATGCAACTGCTGAATATAAGTTGTTCGTGCCAAGACCTTACGTGAATGCCAGGGTGGATTTTCTTTGCTCGTTGCCTGTAACATATTACATGCAACTGCTGGACAGATAGTGCAAGGTTGCTAGATGCCTAAGCTTTGTCAATGGTGGCTCGAGTTTTTTTCAGTTTGGGTTACTATGCTCTTAGTTGTTGTTGCTATTGGGTTGATAAATTACTTCTTATAAGTTGTAACCTAAATGCTACAAAAGCCTTACATCCTGTCGAATGGCAACTAAAATCCTGTTAATTATATCTCGTCGATTACAGTTTTTTTTTTTTTTTTTTTCTTTGGTGAATCCTTATTGTAATTGTTTCGAATTCGACATTTTAATGCTATGAGTAGATTTGCAGGAGCAGGCAAGCTGATGACTAGTCATGCATTTCAAACAAGAATGGTTATTCATGCTATGAAATGCCATAAATTTGTAACAGTGTAATTGAGTTTAGATTGCCTAACAGACTAAAACGAACAGCGTGTTTTTCAATTTGCCGCACAAAATCGAACTTTTAACCCTTCACTAAAATCAGTTTTGATGGACATTTTTTCTCATGAAATGTATGACTGTTAGATAAGAATCCAACTAATCAGTAATATGATGTTTAGGCAGACAAACAACAGTTTTAAGTGATGTACATTTAGTCGTTAAGCAGGTCGGTTCATCATACATTTTTCATAAAAAAGATTGAGATATATATTGAAGAATAATTGATTAACAGCTATAGCTACTTGACCAATATGGAATTTAGACTTCTTTTTCTCCTTCTCTAAGAAGAAGATTTTCATTTTTTACCAGTCTTGTAGCGAATAAAGGCACCGATGGTTTAATATCCTCGAATATGGGCCCTGTTACGAGTGGACCATATTAACCAGATGCATGTAACAAAGGCCACTCGCCACAAAGACGAGAGCTGCGGACGCCGCATCTCCATCTCTAAGAGAAGGAGCGTCATCGATTCCTAAACCGCTAATGCGCACCTCCTTGTCAGGCCTAGCTAGGCAAACCGGTGAACCTTCTAAGTAAGGGCGAGGGTGTACGGAGTAAAAAATCCCATTTGGTAATATAAGATAAGAAGAAGAGACTGATTTGCACAGGTATAAAATAAAAAAGCGGCGGGCGAAGCGGCCATTGGGTTGGCTATTCTTTCATCAATTTATCGAAACATTGGTCGCTACACTCGTTAGACCGCCCGATACGCCTAATCGTTAGACCGCCACACAATAATTTGATACATTTTTTGCATGACCTGATTGACTAGGTGAGATTGATTGAATGTGTTTGCAATTTCATATTTTTGCCAACTTTAGTAGTGACAACATTCATGATGATACTCATTAAAGCAATGGGACCTATTGTAATGTGAATACTACTCACTTCTACAAAATATGCTTGCTAGGTTTCAAAATTTGATTTTTTTTTTTTTTAGCTATTTGAGATTCAAACATTCATGTTTGAGACTTATTAACGATTAGACGGGTCATCTCGTCATATTTTTCAAACAAAAATGTGTACATACAACGACAAATGTCATACTTCTGGTGATGTTACAGTCAGTTGTGTATAAAAATATACATATTTGTTAAAATAGTATAATTGTCTTAACTATTAATCAAACATTTATAGTATAATTTTCTTGTTCATGAACATATGATGAAATTGAATTATTTCTATCTGCCAGCCTTTATGTTTTTATTTTTATTTTTTTTTCTCATAAATAAAGAGTAGATTCTTTCCTGGCTTTCCTTGTGCATTTTGCTGCACAGTTTTTTTACATGTTATTTGTTCATTCAACTTTCTTATGATTTCTACTTTTTTTTTCGTCTGTTTCTCTTCTGATTCTTGATTTGTTTAAGGTTGCCAGCTAGGGAGGTGATCTGCTCGACCGGGGGATTTTGGCGGTCTAGTTAGCCCCGAGCGATAATCACGAGGCTCGAGTTCAATTCGCTATCGATAATCTCTCTTAAGTTGATAATAACATTTAACTCTGTCGCATTACCTTCAGTTTCGAGCTCGTTCAGTAATAATAATTTGTCCCTCCTTCAACTACACGACAGTCGAGCATCAAAAGTCGGACTGCGAAAAGCTCGACATGCACCTGAAGGTCACCACCTGGCACAAGCTTTCCGGGCCCAGGCTGGTACAGAAAGCTCGACGAACCGGATAAATTGCCCGCCCAAACGCGATGATGGATCGTTGGGACTCATCACGATTGGTAAAAATGATTATAAAATAGGGATTGAAAATGTATTGTAATGTATTTTTATGTAATCATATTTCATCTCTAAAGTTGTTAAGTTAATCTTGAAATGGTGCATTGTCATTAACTCATCATTGCTGCATATAGTCTGAGGTCAATTTGCAATTATTGAAACATATTCTATCACCTACTTTTAATTTATACTCACATGTGTTCAATTAATTGGTTTAATTTTCATCAAACTATAGAGTTCTATTTTGTGTACTTTATTATTAAATCAAATTAAATGCTGGAAGATTCCGCTGCACTATCAAATTTCATATTTTTTATAATTATAAATGTAATTAATTATGTATATCATAAAAAAAAACGAATGGTTGCACATGAAAAGAATAGTATAAATTATGGGAAAAAAAAATAATGGAACCATATTTTGTTTTAAAATATTTAAATTAGATCTCGAAGAGCACTCAAAATGCATTGAGTCCAATTTTACATATGTGACATATAAATTCACTTTAGTCTTGAATGACTGGATGAACCCAATTAGATAAAATCAAAAAATTATACAATGCAAAAATAAAATACTATGTCTAAAATATTTGTCAATCAATAAAAATGTTTTAATATGTTTACCATATGAATATAAAAATTAAATTAGAAATAAAGGCTGACTGTTCAAATTTATATTTGAGTCCAAAATAAACCAAAGGTCGACTTTCTCTCTCTCTCTTTTTATTGCACATAAGATAGACCAACATCCACTTTTAATTGCATTGAGAGACATATCTTTTAGACTAAGTCTATTTCTTACGTGACAACGATTTTTTAAGAGACCCGGTCCATTGTGAGTGCTTTAAGCATGCTCGAATTTGCTTGAGTCGAAGTACATTTCGCCACAAATTGGAGCCGAACCGCTAAATAAGAAAACCGAACTTATAAAAAAATGAATCGAAATGAACTACAACCTTAAAAAAAAAAAATAATTAGATAAATAGAACATTTTTTATTACAATAAATTAAAAAAAAAATATACAGTTCACTTTTTTTTTATTGTTATTGTAATTTTGATCCTTTTATTTTTCTTGTGTACCTTTTGCTTTTATTACCATGATACACACATGTACCCACCCTCATCATAATCACGTTGTTATCACCAGTAAAATAACTCTGATATATAGATATTTATAAATGGGGTGGCCGCCGGAAAACACATGGTATCACCGTCGTCAAATAGGAGAGAGAAAGGAGCTACATCGAGATAGAGTGGCGTCGCTGGATTTCCTAATCTCTCTGGGTAATGCCTTTTCCCCTTCAGGTACGTATTTCTCGTATTTTTTTCTGATTTTTTTT